GCGGCCGGCATCATCGGACCCCGGTTTGCAGCTAGAGTCCTTGCTCCCCTCCTCACCCCCTCCCCCGACGTCTCCCTGAGCTCCCGTGGGGGTCGGGCATTAAGCGGCAACCGGAGGGGGGAGGCACGTGCACCTTTCGTGCCCCTTGTTGGGGGCCCCAAGGGGCCCCTTTCGGGCCCCCAAGGTTTGCAAAATATGCACCTTGTAGGTAGGGCGGGCCAAGCGTTCTGCACGAGATCCCCTCACCACTTATGATCCAAATGCAGCAGAATTTGCGACAGCTTCACGCATGGAGAAGAGTCGTTTTCGGCAGTCGCCTTGGCCCCGCGCACACCCGTCTTCAAAAATTGTAAGTGCGTCGAAGATCGAGGGAGAAAAACATGTAGCTCTCGCCGTAGAGCCGCGTGCACTTGACTAAAAGTTTGCAGCAGATGTCAGGATTGAAGTCAATTCCTATTCAACGTGGCTCTAGCCTCAGCGCCGCGCACATGTGCTTCAAATGTGTGCAACGGTTTCGAGCATGGAAGGCGGTTCCCCTTCCAAATGCTGCTCTCGCCTCAGCGCCGCGCGGATCCGTTTTGAAAATGTGCTGCAACCTTCAAAAATCTCACGATTGTGGGTAACGCAATTGTGAATATCCTCTTCGGTGCAGCTCCCTATGCGGCCACGAAGCGCTGCACTGGGCGGGGGGAACGCCTGGTACCACTGGGGCCGTCGGTGGAGCTCCCTATGGGGCCACGAAGCGCTGTACTGGGTTTGCGAAAATGCCAAATTGTGTGTGTGTGTGTGTGTGCGTGGGGGGGGGACGCATGCGGGCTGGGTCTTCGGTGGACTTCCCAATGGCGCCACGAAGCGCTGTACTGGGTGGGTGAAACTGCTTCATTACATTCTCAGGACGTACGCGGACTGTCCAACTGTGGGATTCGGTGGAGTTCCCCATGGGGCCACGAAGCGTTGTACTGGGTGGGTGGGGATGCCACATTGGGTGTGTGGGACGCATGCGGGCGGTCCCACTGGGGGTTTCGGTGCAAAAACGCTGTAGTGGGTTGGTAAACGTGCGAAATTGGGCGTGTGGGACGCACGCGGGCGGTCCCACTGGGGCCTGCGGTGGAGCTCCCTATGGGGCCAAGAAGCGCTATATTGGGTGGGTGGTAATGCCAAATTGTGTGTGGGACGCATGCACGCGGTCCCACTGGGACCTTCGGTGGAGCTCCCTATGGGGCCACGAAGCGCTGTACTGGGTGGGTGCAAATGCCCAATTGGATATGCCGAAGTGGGGGGTGGGACGCATGCGGTCAAAACGCGAACGCAGCCAGTGGGACCTTCGGTGGAGCTCCCTATGGGGCCACGAAACGCTGCACTGAGTGGGCGACAGTGCCAAATGGGATGTACTGGAAAGGCGCATGCTGCCAAAACGCGAACGCAGCCACTGGGACCTTCGGTGGAGCTCCCTATGGGGCCACGACGCGCTGTATTGCGTGGGTGCAGATGCCAAGTTGGATGTGCCGAGTCGGGGGGTGGAACCGCATGCGGCCAAAACGCGAACGCAGCCACTGCGGCCCTCGGTGGAGATCCCTATGGGGCCACGAAGCGCTGTACTGGGTTGGTGAAAATGCCAAATGACTCGTGGAGCTTCCCCAAGAGCGAAGCGGCGAAGCTTAAGAATAATTCTGGCGCGCTGGCGGGCTAGCTGGCTCGAACAAATCCCGACGGAAGTTTTGCATAATTTTGGCCGGTTGAAAATCAGTTTCTCGAAATTCAACAAGTCGTTCGAACTCTCATACTGTTCCCTCCCATATTCGATCATATTCCCGCTCGCCATCTTGATATCAGGTCGATCGGGTAGATATCACTGTCAAAAAGCACTCCAGCGGGATCGGGCGTTGTCTGTCATCTTGGCAGGTGTCGAGCTGTAGGTGAGCTACAGAGCTGTTCGGCACAACGATCGGAAGAAAATCCTTGGAAACACGAATCTAAAGTATCTAGATTCCTGAGGACGGTCTGCTACCAGAGCTCGGCCCAAAACAACTATTCGTATCCTGCTCATTGTTTAAGAGAGGGCGTTCGTTTTCTCTACCGCATTCGAGCTGTAGGCTGGCTACGGAGCTGGGAAGCACACCTTCAAACAATAAATCATGAAGCACATCTGCCTACAGTATCGAGATGTCTGAAATCGGCCTCCAACCGAACTGCGACTGAAACGCTGTTCGCACTGTATATATATTTCTCTGGAAATTATGCGCGTTTCCTCAGTTCAATTCGAGTTGCAGGCCAGCTCTGGAGCTGAGATGTACACCACTCGACAGGAAATGCTGAAAAACACCATTCTAAACTATCTGGACGCCTGAAGTCGGTCTGCTGCGATCAAACAAGTATTTGCATCCTTTCATTTGTATGAGAGACGGTGTTGGATTTCTGTACTCAATTCGAGTTGTAGGCGAGTTAGGGAGCTGGAAACCACACTGTTAAACATCATACACAGTCGCCTAGAGTATCGAGACGTCTGAGATTGGTCCGCTACCAGCTACAAATGAAAATCTACTCGCACTCTACAATTTCTGGTGGAGGTGATGTTTGTTTTCTGTACTTAATTCGAGCTCTAGCTACGGAGTTCAGATACACCAGTCGTCAGGAAATTCGAAGCGTTATCCTAAAGCATTTCGACGGCGGGATCGGTCTGCTACCAGAGCTGCGACTAAAACACTATTTGCACTCGTTGGTTTTCTCTCTTAATTCGAGCTGTAGGCAAGCTACAGAAATGGGACGCAGACTGTTCGAATGGAAATGATCACGAGCGCTAGTCTGCAGTATCGTGACGTCTGATATCGGTGTGCTACCAGAGCTGCGACCGACAAACTACTTGCGCTGTGCAACCAGCTACCAAACTCACATGCTGTACGCGTGACGCGAGCACCTTAAGATTGTCAGAAATTTTGGGAACATCTGTTCAGCTTATGTCGTGTACTTTCTTGCGCGGGTGTTGTCTCAACTGAATTCGAGCTCTGGACAAGCAAGGAGCTGCCAAGCACATCTCTTTGAAACCGCACACTTTCACGCGCGCTGAATGCGAGATTGCCGCGCTCGCATGCGATTCATCTATATGGCAAGGAAGCTCTACGAGTTCCCGGCGGTAGCCAAGGTTGACGGTTTACCGCCAGCTTCCAATTGGATGTGCCGAAACGGGAAGTGGAACCGCATGCGGCCAAAACGCGAACGCAGCCACTGGGGCCTCCGGTGGAGCTCCCTGCTCCCTATGGGGTCAAGAAGCGCTATACTGGGTGGGGTGTGAATGCCCAATTGGATGTGCCCAAACGGGGGGTGGAACCGCATGCGGCCAAAACGCGAACGCAGCCACTGGGGCCTCCGGTGGAGCTCCCTATGGGGCCACGAAGCGCTGTACTGGGTGGGCGAGAATGCCAAATTGGATGTGCCCAAACGGGGGCTGGAACCGCATGCGGCCAAAACGCGAACGCGGCCACTGGGACCTTCGGTGGAGCTCCCTATGGGGCCACGAAGCCCTGTACTGGGTGGGTGAAACGCAGGGAGGAGGGAGGAGGGGGAGGAAGAGGAGGAATAGGAGGAGGAGAGCGCGGGGACCGATATTTCAAAACGAGGACCCTGCACCACAGGATGGTTGGGGACAATCCAGGGACGGTGCTAGGAAGCAGCAACTGACACGATATAGGACTGTTTCAGGAAGCAACAAACGCTTTGACTCGCTGCGCTGAAGCCCGAGGAATGTCTTTATAGCACACGACTTGGGACTGTGTCGAGACGCACCAGTCACATTGATTCGCGGCGCTGGCATCCCACGAATAGTGGTTTGGCACGACTGAAGATTATTAGACGTTTTTTTCCAATGGGACACATCCCGCAATGAACATACATCCGTGCAGAGACCGATGCAGCTTGTAGCAGCTTCAAGGGTGGAGGACGGACGGTTTTCAAAATGTTGGTATCGCTTCATCCCCGTGCATGGTCGTCTTCAACGTTCGCAGCAGTTCCATAAATGGAGGGCAGCTCCTTTTTTATAATGTGGATATCGCCTTGGCGCTGCGTACATTCGTCTTTTAAACAATGCAGCAGGCTCAGATGTTTGTACTGTTGGACTCCGAGGAATGGTGTTCTGGCACGACTTGCACTTGTCAGACCGTAACAGTCATAACCCTTTGCCCCTGAGAACAGCACCCAGGGGATCATAAAATTCAAAGTCTCGGGGGAATAATAAACGATTTGTCCCGGCAAGTCGCACGAGGGGTGTATGACGAGGAAAGAGGAGTCGTCGTCGTCATCGCTCCCATGGCCCTGCCACACTATCCTGACTCTGGAAAGGCTGAGACAGTGAGAATCACAAAGCCCTGCCACACATTTGTGACTTGGGGGAGCTGGAATGGTGAGAACCCCATAGCCCATGCACGCGTTTGTGTCTTGCGAAAGCTGAACTGGTGAGAATCCCATTGCCATGCCACACATGTTTGATGCTGCTGCTGCTCAACACGAGAAGATAGCAACTTCGATTCGAACCTTCTTCCCCGCGATAAAAGAAGTTCGGCCTCGCCGCCCCTCCCCCCCCGACCAACTTAGTCTTGCGCCGGGGAGAACCAAGCCTCAAGGGGGAAGGGGGGGTATGATTGACTATCCGGGGCTCGCGGTTATTGATTCGATGTGTCGATGTTACGGGACAGGTGTTCTGGCACGACTTGTGATTGCCAGGACGCAGCCGCCACGTAGATTTGCAGCACTGGTATACCAGAAAAGGGTGCTGTGGCACGATTGAAGGATCTCCAACGCTTTCCTTCAATGGAGCACTTCCGACAAGGAAAACAAATTCGTGCAGGGACGTATGGAGATGGAACTTGGAGGGAGGGCAAATTGCAGCATCGTCAGTGCGTCTTAGGTTTACACTGGTCCTCGTCCTCCTCCTCCTCCTCCTACTCCTCCTCCTCCCCATCCCCTCCCCCTCCCCTCCATCCCCCCTCCCTATCCCCCTTCTCTGAGCCCTGCCTGCGCTGAACCCCGCTACCTGCCGATAAGATGCTTTCAATCCGCGGACCCAGAGGTCCCGACCGCTTCCCCCAGTGGTAGTGTTTCGCCCCAGGTCCGTTTTAGATGGCTTCGGGGCCCGAACGCGGCCCCAGAGGGCCGAAGTCAAAGAGAAGCGCTGGCATTGAAAAGTGATACCGTCGGAGATTTGGGGCCTTCCATCCTAGGCATCCCAGATGGGGTCCGAGCAGATGAGGTTGGAGGACCGCGCCTAAGAGATGTTCCATCCTGCAGCCGATCTCAACGGTCCCGGGTAACCGAAGACAGCCCCCGAGTGCGAACGAATGAAATTCGCCAGACAATGAGCCTAAACCTTTGTACTCGAGTGGAGGCTATCAACAGGACCGCTGCAACCGATGCGGACGCAGCCACTGCGGCCTTCTATGGAGCTCCCTATGGGGCCACGAAAAGAGCGAGGGGTCTGCCGACATGGCGCGGGGCCGCATGCAGTCGCAGCCACTGTGGCCTTCGGTGGAGCTTCCCTCTGGGCCACGAAGCGTGTGAGGGTCTACTGAAATGCGGCGGGGCCGCATGTTGACGCAGCCACTGGAGCCTGAGGTGGAGCTTCCCAGGGCCACGAAACGCGTGATGGGTCTGCCGACACGGGGCGGGGCCGCATGCGGACGCAGCCACTGGAGATGGGGCCACGGAACGTGTGAGGTGCGTGTACATCTAACAATATTTGTAAGAGTGTATCTATGTGTGTGTGTGTGTGTGCGTGTGTCTGTGTGTGTGTCTGTGTCTGTGTGTGTGTCTGTGTCAGTGTCTGTGTGTTGTGTGTGGTTGTGTGTTTGTTTGTTTGTTTCTTTGTTTGTGTGTGTGAATGTGTGTGTGTGTGTGTCTGTGTCAGTGTCTGTGTGTTGTGTGTGGTTGTGTGTTTGTTTGTTTGTTTCTTTGTTTGTGTGTGAATGTGTGTGTGTGTGTGGAGGGGGGGTGGGGGGCTCGGGCACTTCTAGTTTGCGCGCTTGTGTGTGTGTGTGTGTGCCGAGATGGGACGGGACGCATGCGGAAACTGGCTACTGGGGCCTTCGGTGGAGCTCCCTATGGGGCCACGAGGCGTGCGATGGGTCTGCCGAAAATGGGGCGGGACCGCATGCGGACGCAGCCACTGGAGCCTCCAGTGGAGCTCCTTTGTTGGCCACGAAGCGCGTGATGGGTCTGCCGAAAATGGGGCGGGCCCCCATGCAGACGCAGCCATTGGAGCCTCCAGTGGAGCTGCTATGGGGCCACGAAACATGTGAGGGGCGTGCCGACATACGCAGAGGGAGCATGATTATAGCGAGGAAGAGGAGGGAACAGGGGAAGGAGGAGGAGGAGGAGGAGGAGGAGGAGGAGGAGGAGGAGACGCAGGGCGCTGCGGACTCAGAACAAGGGCCCAGAGCACAGTGGGGTTGAGAAAACACAGACCATCGGGACCCGGCCACTTGCTGGCCGATCGACTACATTCAGGAGGTACCCTAAGTAAGAGTGACCTCTGGTGCGCGGCTTTAGGAGGCCGCGGGTAGGCCAACTCCATGCGCACAGGCCCGTGCCAGGGGGGACTCCTTTGGGCCCGCAGCAAAGGTCACTCCAGGGAAGGACCACACTTACGTGAGTAGTAATAAAAAGACCCCCAAACCCTTTAGGAGGCGACCTAAGTCAGGAGGCCGAAAACACCAGGGATAATTTGTCTTTTCTGCAAACGTAGCAGACCAAGCCGCCAAGATTCATTACCACGGTGCAGAGACGGGGACCTCAGTGAGGCCACATCTTCACGATGTTATTCAAGCTAAGGGCTCCTTTGTCCTCGATGATTGCCCATCGGTCGGAAGAACTAGGCAGAAACATGAAGTGGGAAGGCGTTGAAAAGGGACTGGGTGTCCGCCCGTCCCCAAGAGGACGGATGAAGCAGGAAGGCGCTTGAAGTAGACTGGAACATGGGAATCAAAACATACCTACCTCCAACGACCGATGGGTACGCATCGGCGATGTATCGCCAATACATCGCGATGCATCAGCGATGCATCGGCGACTTCGGCGATGCATCGGCGACGCCGGCGTGGAGAAACTCGGGCTCCGCCTCGAGCTGCATCGCCGATTCATCGGCGCGATGCGGCGCGAACCTCCGTCCCCATCTACTCGGGAGGAGGGAGGAGGGGAGAGGGAGGAGGGAGGAGGGAGGAGGAGGAGGAGGAGGAGGAGGGAGGAGGGAGGAGGGAGGTGGGCGGAGGGAGGAGGGAGGAGAGAGGAGGGAGGAGGGAGGAGGCCTGGAGGCCTGGAGGCCTGGAGATTTCGCGTCGCCCAGCCGACCCCCGAGCCCCGGGCGAGTCCGCCCCGGCCATCGTGCGGCGGCGGCGCCCCTCCGGGGCCGCTCCGCGCCCGCTCTCGCGGGGGAAGCGCGCGGGGGAGCGCGCGGGGCGGGCCGCTCGGCCCCCGGCGCGCGGGCGGCCGGCGGCGCGGGCGGCCCGCGGCTCGAGGCGCCGAGGAGGGCTCGCGAGCGGTCACGGCCGAGGTTGCCTGCGAGGAGGGCTCGCGAGAGGGCGCGAGGCCCTCTCGAGGGCCACACGGCCATGGGAGTGCAGAGAAGGCACGAGTCGCGAGCACACAGGACACGAGGGTACCCTTGATTTGGCAGGGTCCGCCTACGAATCAGACTCGACTGTGCTCGGCGGCGAGCTCGGGGCGGAAGTTTTTCTTCAGCAGCGGACGCCGAGCAATCCGCTGCCACTCACGGGGGCGATCACCGTGCCCTGCGACGAGCCGTGGCAACTTCACGCGCAACGCAGCGGCAATGATCGATTAACGTCACCACCTACGGGGGGAGGAGCCCAGGGGGAAAAGTGAGAAGGGGCGGGCCTTCTCAGAAGGCTCGGGAATCCCACAGCCTTCCGAATAGTTTCCCAAGCCTTCCTGAAAGCGCAGAAGACTTCAGGAGGCGCGAGAGCTTCTGAGATGTCCCGCCGCCCTATGATCGGGGGCGGCCAATATTGGCGGCGCGCACAAGGGGGTGGAGGGAGGGGGGAGGGGCTTCTTAGAAGGAGGCTGCTGCTTAGAAGGCGCCGGCTTTACATCTATAGATGAGGCCCGTGCCTTCTGAAAAGCAGGGGGGCTTCTGAGAAGCCCTCCCCCTTCCCCCCACCCCCCTCTGCGCGTGGCCGCCAAGAGGGGGGCGTCCAAGAGGGGGGGGGGCGCATGGAGCCCGACTAAGAGGTCATCGGGACGGATGAAGCGGGGAATTCGGCCGAAGCTTAAGGAAGAATGGTACAACATAAACTTTTTCGCTGTCGGGGGCGCCTGTCCCAGGGCGGCTTGAAACTTTATACCCTTCCGGTGGCACGTCAAGGCATAAAACTTTCCAACCGCCCTGGGGCAGCGCCCCGGTGACGGAAAAATATATGTCATGCCGTGCTTCGCCCGCTAAGAGGTAAGAGAGATTGGGCCGCACTGAGCGAGAGTATGCCAGGCCGTCTTTTCGGCCACTGATCTACCATTTTCAAAGCTGAATTGTACCTCCCAGGAGATGCGTTGCAATTCTTGCCCATCTGACTGTCCCCCTCGTCTCCTGGGAGGGGCGAGGGGGAGGCACGAGGTAGGTCGTTGCAAGGTTGTCGTAGTCCGCATTGACCGGTGATGGGATCCCCCCTGGACTTTCGCATTGCACTCTGCACGTCGGCTGCCCCCCTGCCTGCGCGTGAAAACCACGTACTGGAATGAGTATAGAGTGCCATCTTCATTGAAGCACGTGCCGCATGAATGTAGAGTACCATCTGAGCTTAAACATGATGCGTCTCAACACGCACCAAATTAAGGCTGAACACCCCTTGCAACCTGAACCTTGTACGTAATAGCACGTGCGAGATACCCCCTTGGTCTGCAAACTGTTTCGTTGCAGCACGTACCCAAGGAATGTTGAAGGCCCGCTGGCATACAAATTGCAGCCCGCGGCAGACTACCCAGAACAACATAATCAAAACGAAAGTCAAGGCAAACTACTATAATGTGAGTACGCAGGGGCATACGGGAGAGCATACAGGAAAAAATAGCTTGAGGGATACAATACGGGAACATGTACGGGAGAGCATGAGGGAGACCATCCGGAAGACCACGGACCACGGATTCTGGACCTGGAAGGGCTTACACCCAGCCTTAGAAGAATGATGCAGGACCCATACAAACAAGTTGCTTTGGGAATGGTGTGTTGAATGCCCCCGTGGCCTGAGCACAAAAAACATGCTCTTTGCGTGCTAAATGTTTATTATCACGGACCCCAGACAGCGAGGTAGTGCAGCGTGGATGTGAACGGTCGGTGGCACAATGCATTTGATTAAACCTGTTTGGTGTCAGCTGTGTGGTGCAGGCTGCGTGGTGCAAGCTGAGTAGTAGCGGCTGTGTAGTGTGTAGTATATGCGGTGAGCGCTATGTGGCGCAAGCTGGTTGGCAAGCTGCGCGGTGCAACATACCATGTGGTGCAAGCTATGCGGTGCTAGCTGTGTGGTGCAGGCTGCGTGGTGCAAGCAAGCTCGAGCAAACCATGTAGCCTTACATAGGTGGTGAAAGCTACGTGGTGCAAGCTATGCCGTCCAAACTATGTGGTACAACTAATGGTCTAATCTATGTGGTGCACGTTCTGTAATGTAACATATGTGGTGTAATTATGTCGTGAACACTAAGTGCTGGAAATCATGTGCTCACACTATTTGCGCGTGGGGCGCGCCGCGGATGGCGATACAGTTTGCACGGCGCCGGGGGGCGGGTACCGAGCGAAACTGCGGCACGGCACACCAACCCAACGCGCGAGGCGCGCTCACGGGCAATAGTCGGGCGAAATCTCGACACACCAACCCAATGCACGAACCTGCCCACAAAACGCCGACGGAAACCCACAGGCGGGCACCAGGCCAAATCTCGGCACAAACACACACACACAACACACAACACACAACACACAACACACAACACCCGCGGCGCCCCTGTAGGCGCGCCTACACACAACACACAACAACACACAACACCCGCGGGGCCTACAGGGGCACAGGCGCGCCCCTGTAGGCCCCCGCGGCTCAATATCTACTGGGGTACTCCAGTTCCAAAAGCATGGCCTCGTGCCTACGGGCGCGACCCCAAACGCGGTGGAGGCTGGGGAACGCCCCAATGGGTCGGACCCCCCCAGTCGGCTTGGCCAGGAGGGCCATGAGGACCCAAGACAGCTTGCGGGGAAGGGCCCCAGTGGCCCCCCACGCAACAAACCACAACGCGAGAGCACGCAAAGCCTCATTGGGGAGCAAGCAGAAGTGACGGCAAGTAAAAAACCGCCGGTGCTGACCACAGAGGTAGGACGATACTTCTTACAAAAAAGCTCGAATCTTTGCGGGCTCCAAAACGCGAGCATGCGGGGGAAGGTCGCGTCCAACTCCTTCCCCCGAGCCCGAGCCCCACACGGCGGCGAACTTGTCGCCTTCCGCCCGAAGCAACGAGACAAGGTCGCAGACAATGGCCCCGCATCGAGACAAGGTGGCGGCTGGCTTCCAAGGCTCGGGACCCCTGATGGCTTCCTGCGCGTTGCGACCTCCAGCGCCGATGCCCTTTCGCACCCGCTCGCGGCACTCCTTCCTCGGCTCCGTCGCGGAGGTGGCCTTGGCAATGGAGGCGGCGAGCGCAGCCCGAGCGATCAGGTCGCTCAGATCCGAAAGAAGCTCAGGATCAAAATCAGGCAGCAGGGCGCATCTAGCTAAGGCCCCGCCAGCTCTAACGAAAGGGAAGAAGCCCGTGCCATTTTTTCACCGCCACGGCCTCTGGGGGCTGGATGATCGAGTCGAGCACCTGGCGTCCAGCCTCCTGCAAGTTCGATTCAGAGAGGTCGCACCTAACTGCTCGCAACTGTTTGTGCAACCGCTGGACAGCACGCAAGTCTGGCTGCTTTTCTCTGCCAGCAGGTTGCAAACCAGATTTCCAATCGACTCGAGGCCGCTTGCCCCTCATCTCAGGATTTCGACGTCGGGCCCAAGGGCAAGCACCAGGTCCCTCTCCGCAGAGTCAGCCCAAACCTTATCACCAGGATTGAGCAGTCTACAGGCTTTTATCCCATCCCCAGCTCACGCCGCTTCAAAAGCTTCTTCGGCCAAGTCCAGCGCGGCATCTCAGGAGCCGGGCAGAGGGGCAGGAGCAACAGGCGCCAGCGCAGGCAACGTAGGGGGCTGGCGGAAGGCGAGGGCGTGGAGATCTCCGAGGGAGCTATGAATGCGGAGCGACACAGGACGGCGGAGGGGCAACGCTAGTGTCATTTTCCATCCCGACAAGTTTCAAGCAGAAACTCAGGGCCCCAGGAGCAACAAAATGATCAAAGCGATGTGGGGCCCCCCCTACTCGGAAAGCGCGCGTGTCTTTCAGGCACAATGAAGGAGGCCCTTAGACGACTGACAAAGCTCGAGGACTCCAAGACCTCCGGACCCATGTTCCAGTCAGCCCCCCACAAGAAACTCGCAGCCTAAAGAACCCAAAAAACTCCACCACAACACGCAGAATCTCAAGCTTGGAGTCAGAGAGACCTTCGCTGTGGACGAGGTAGAGGCTGCAGATGCACATCGGGGCGCAACCTGGCATGTGCACCATGGTAGCCACAGCTCTGCCGGCGCATCAAGTAGCGCGATACCCAGCTTCAAAAAAGGCCATGGCCATCGCGAACACAAACGCATACCCCCGATGAAACACCCCCTCCTTCCCCAGGTACTCCAGGAGCCCACAAAGTTTGCCAGCCCAGGAACTTGGAAGAGATTGGCAGATTTCGAAGCTTGGCCAAGAGCTCCCGCATCCAACACACGATGCTCCTGAGCGATAACCACGTGGGCCTTCGAAGTGGAGAGGTAATATTTGAGAGTGCCCCAAGAGTTGGCGTTGACAGTGGTGGCAAGGAGCCCCAGCCTGATCGCGCAGTCAGTGGCCGCGCCCTGGGCAGCTGGGCCTCGAGCTGAGGTCGCTGGCAGACCGTCAGAGACAGAACGCATGCAGGACCAAGCCCTTGCCGAGCTAGCACCAGAAAAAGAGGCATCGGATTGCGGCAGGCGCGCGACTGGTTGCTCCACCAATGGGGTCTCACCAGTCTTCACAACGCGCGGTTTCCCGACCGCGCCAGGCAGAGGGAAAGAGAGGGGACGCGAGCGGCCCCTTGGCTTTCTGGGGGGCGCCCGGATGTCAGAAAGGGAAAGAGGGGCGCCAAAGGAGACTCCGACCGCCTCAAAGCCGAAGGCACCCTTGAGGCGCCTAAATAACCGAATCCCTGAGGCCTGGGACCTGGAGCCAATCGCAGACAATCTCGAGGCTCAACAATTAACAACACCCCAGGAGGCCCCCATTCTCAGATTCGCGCCCCCTGTCACGCGACTGCGGCAAGGGGCGAGGATGCCTTGAGAGTCTGGTCGGCCCTCGCTCGACCGTCCTCAGACGGGGGCGACATCATC